AAGGGGGAGAGGGGAGGAGGCAGGCCATGTACAATAACCTCAGAGCTCAGTAGGAGTGCATGTGACTGCATACACACCCAAAAGTCTGGGAGTCTCTAGAGATGGCAGGACACCTAATCTTTCTGCTTCTCTTGGGAAAGAGATTAACCTAGGAGGTGGGGGCTCCGATTCCCCAGCCACTGTCTCCAGATAGGGTGGCTCCCAAGGTCCTCAGGCACAAATGCTGACGTACATAGAAAGTTGCAGAGGAAAATTACTGTAGTTCATCTTCTTCTCCTGCAGCAACAAAGCAGCTACCTGCACTGAGAGCCTGCCTTTTGACCTACCAAAAAGGCTAGAAGGATCTACGGGAGATGCTGGGTGTCTGTGTTCTCAGGGGCATTTCTAGAGCGAGGTAAAAGACAAAGAAGAATACCAATATGCACAAAGTCAACCGGGCTCAACTGACATGAGTGAAACCTTTAAAAACGGCAATCTGTGGAGGTCCTGGTGGTGCATGCCTGTCATCCCAGCACTCTGGGAGGCTGAGGCAGGGAGATTATAAATTAAAGCCCTGCCTGGGAATACAAAGAGGCTCATCTCCAAAGAAAACAAGGAGCTCAGTGCAACAGCCCTGAGAAGTCAGTGGAGAAGAAAAGGGAACAGGACAGAAAGAGCAGAGTCAGTTCCTACCATGGCTCCAGGATGTTTCCTTGGCTAGAAGGGGGGCTTTCCCCAGGGGCTACAGGTCCTCCTGGGAAAGAAAGCACCAGGCCGGGGCCTGGAAGTCACAGGAAGGCTCCAGGAAGCCCATGCATCTACCTGACACCAGTTGCTGGACTTCACAGGCCACCTGCATTTCCTTCCTCTTCCCTCAGCTGGGGCGGGCCACGCAACTCCCAATTCGCACCCCACCTTTCTGCAAAGCATTCTGTGGTCTGGCTCCACATCTCACATTCTCCTCCCTAGCTCCAAACCCAAGAGCTTACAACTCTTCCTTCTGAATCATGCAGTGTCACGACCCAACCAGACCTGCAGCTGCCTGTCCCACCTCTGGGATAGTGAGGCCCAAGGTAGGTAGAAACAGAAGGGGAGAATGGGCTGTAATTGCAAATTAAAGACAAAAACAAACCAGCTCGTCTCGTGCTGCTGCGTTTGCCCCGCTCTAGTACAGCAGTGTCATGCTGTCCATGGGTGCCACTTGTACAGACGCAGGAGGGAGCACACGCCGCTGCCTGCTGCCGGGTGGGTGCAGGGCGGGACTGCTGGCTCTGCCCCAGAAAAGGCAGAGCTCTAGTTCTGCCTCCACTTCACAGCACAGCACAATGAGGGCTGTGTAATTACCCAGCAGAGCAGCTCAGAGTGGAAAGCCTCAATTGCTCCTGAGCTAATTGAAGGCCAGGGGAAGAAATGTCTACCCTAAAGCAACCAACACAGTGCAGAACTGTAGGACAAATCTCAGTTACTTATTTTGAAATCTACTTGGCAGAAGCTAGTTTGGTAAATGGAAAAAGAAAGTTGTCTTCATCTGAACCTCTGTGCACCAGGTCACCTCTCAAGGACAACACCAAGGGGTTAGTTCTCAGCTTCATCTGGTTCATCAATTGCATAGTGAAGCAAGCTTTTCCTCAAGGTGGGCTATCTCATCTGCATATAGTCCAGTAGCTCTACCAGGGTTGAGGGTATCTTCTTATCCTCCCTCTCCCTCTCCCTCCTCCTGCCGGAGGTCAGTACCAGCCTCGTTGGTACTAGACAGCAGCTCCCTTAGATGATGCAGCAGCAGCAGCTGGGAGGAGGCAGAGTGGAGGAATGAATCCCACCAGCACCCCCAGCCTCTGGCCAGCCCTGGGCTCCTCTCTGCTTGCTTCCAGTCTCCCAGGATGTGCATTTCAGGCTGTGCCACAATCAAACTACATCTCAGTTTTCCTGCTAAGTTTGAAGTACAACACTGTTTTGAGAGCTCTTTGTTGTTCATCCAGGAGCATACTGCAACTACTCTTTGCTATTTCCTATATGCTATGTCTGGAGGTATTAGAATATTTCAAGTTTGTATAACTGGAAAATATTTTATTTTTAGTTTTCTAAGGTATGTTTGCTAAGCATAAAATTCAGAGAGGACAGATATTTTTTCTTTCAGTCCTTTAATTAGTCTAGTTTCTTATACACTTGGTTTTTTTCTTTTCTTTCTAATGTGGAATAAGATGCTTTTTAATTTTGTTCCTCCACAGCTAATATTTTTTATGTATATGCTTTAATGATTTTTTTCTTTACAATTTCATTTTTGTGTATCTTGGTATGATTTTATTCAAATTTCACGTGCAAAATGTTCATTTTCTTGGAAATAAACTCAGAAATTTTAAATCTTTAAATATTTATTGCCTACTCCTTTCTACTTTGACAATTCTACTTATATGAATATAAGTTTCTTGATTTTGATACAGAGTAAACTATTATATGACTGATCTGTGATTTCTTCTTCATTTTTATTTTGGACAGTTTTTATTGTTATATTCATTTAAGTTTGTAGATAATTTATTTACAGTGTGCAATCTATTAATCTCATGTGATGTATTCATTTCAGAAATATTTCTCTAAAAATCACTCTTCTACATATTATATAATTCACATTTCAATATTTGTCTACAATTTTAAATATGATATGTAATTACTGATTTTCAATAAAGTTAATAAAAAAAATAAAGTACAACACTGGAAAAACAAGTCCACACTACCAGATTGCCTCTGAGATGCTCGTCTTCTTGCTTCTTGCTTCAGAAAGATGAAAGTCAGGCCCACTCCACTTATGCACGTTTAAACTAAAATCCCAGTAAATCTCTGAGAACGCACTGCCATGGGATCAGTGGACGTATATCATCATGCTCTCCTGACCTGGACCCTCAAAAAATGTTATTTCCATTTGACATAGATGAAAACCAGTAAACAAAATAATTCTGAACTCAACGTTCTATTATTCCAACAGAATGCAACAACAAAAAAATTTAGGATCACACATCAGTCATCAGATTATAATCTATTCATTAAACAGATGTGTATAATTTAAACTTGTGCACAACCCTGGGGTAGCTTTCATTCTCTGCATCACAGGGGTTTTTTTGGCAAACAAAAAACAGTCTTTTACCCACATTTTCATTTCTATTAGTCTCACAGTTGTTGAAGCATAGTCTTTGGGTTTTTTTGGTCTTTTTGAGACTGGGTTTTGCTACGCAATTCAGGCTAACCTAAGCTCACTTTGCAGCCCTGGCTGGTCTTGAACTCACAGCACTCCTCCTGCCTCAGACTTCTAAGTGTTGGGATTACAGGCATGTGCCACCATGCCTGGCTGCATATTCTTTCTTGTTGACCCCTCAGAAAATGAAAACCTCCTTGGCATGAGTTGAAAAGGACTTTTTAACAACTGCATTTTAGAATTTCATTGGGCTCTGCTACTCTTAAAACAGACATACAATTCTGAAAAACAATTCTGAAAATTGTTGGGTTTGTGCCTTAAATACAGAAAGCCTCCAGAACGAATGTCTTCACAGTAGATGTAAAGCACTCAGTCCTTCCAACTGTCTCTGGACCCTTTCAGCATGTACAGTGCCTTACTTAACACACACGCACGTTCACTCTGCCTTCTACAATGGCGTTCTCTTTGCAGAACAGAGGAGTTAACCTAACTACCAGCTCTAGCACGTGCCCTCTGCACAAGCACACACTGATAGCACGGGGTGGTGTGCGCAGCCCAGGCCACCATGCACGCTGCACAACCGGCCCACAACTGCAGCAGCTCCTGGATGCCGGCAAACAGACCACAGCTGGAGTTTGGCACATGACTTACTGCGAGCCCACAGGGGTCCAGCTAGAACTGCGCCTCGCAGGCAGGGTGGGGTTTTGCTGGGGGATTATTCCTCAGCCTCTCCTACCCTTGGGTTCAGTGGTCCAGCCACACAGCATCGGAGCAACTGCTGGACATCCTACACAGACGCACAAAGCGCACCAAAACCGTCGTCTCATAGTCCCATGAATATCTATTCTTCGGTAAGGTGTAGCAGTTAATTCAAGCCCAAATGAAAGAAAGCCCCATTCCAGAAGGCTTTTGAAAGTAAACATCTAGCTTGGTGATTTCTGCAGCGGACCCTTGAGTGCTGAGGTCAGCGTTTGATTTGGACCACGCACCAACCACAGCAGTGTCCAGAGGCAGTAGTAGAGAATTCCTCACCCAGGACTGACAAGCACGCTTCCTTCCACCAGTTCCCTCTACCTGGAAAACAAGGTCACCCCACATGCTTTTCAGAGATGCATGCTTCTCCTGCCCTACACCAAGCCAGGGAATACCTGTGTTTTGCCTCAGTCCCACCCTAATGGTAGATCTGTGACATGTGGGATGTTTCAGAATTATAGCAGGAAGGGCTGGGAATATAGCTCAGTGGCACAAGCACCTGCGTTGCAAGCCCAAGATCCTGAATTTGATTCTTGATACTGAAACCAAAAAGGAATTATAGCAAGCATGCTATGCTGTGATAATGCCTTACCCAGCTGACCCCACCCACACGTCCTGCTTCTCTCCAGGGAGTTAACTGACTCTACTTCTATCGTAAAGTTTAAATGAACTCAGTAAATCCAAATTAGGAAAGTAGGCCCTGTCCTCTCCAGAGTAACAACCCTCAGCCCCAACCCCAAATCTGAGGCACTCAAGGGTCCCTCCCATCTGGACAAACTCAAATATGTTAAGCCAGACTCTGTCTTGTCCCCAGAAAGTATCTTGTTGCACAGAAAGCACAGCGGCCACTTTAAGAACCAAAATTGCCACAGCGATGACTCTCTGGGCAGGGGCTGCCAGACACAGGGTCTCTGCTCAGAAGTGCAGGGTATGACAGTACCTGAAATCCTGCCTGGCTGAAAGCCACTTGGGGGTTGGCAAAACCAAGTCATCTGGCCACAGTCAGCCAGAACTCACCCTGCACAGAGCAGCCCACACCCGAGGCACCTTTACAGGGACCCCAGATCCAAATGTCACCTACCTCAAGGTGGAACATGTCTCCTGCCCACGGGCTGTAGAGGGAGGTGCTTCTCTGTGCCCACTGGGGTCCCCTGATGGCCTTCGAGTTTCGACGGGCGCCTCCTGTGAAGGACAGCAGTATGAGACACCAAGCCCTCAGGCTGCCTTCCTGAGACATCTGTTATTATGAAAGCCCTCAATTTGTGGGTTTCCCTGTACGCCAGTGCCTCAATGCCAGTGACGTGTTCCACCCACTGCACAGTATGGAGACCCAGCCCATTCTGCTCCACAATGCCTCTCAGAGAGACACATGATCTAGGACCCCGAAGACACTTCTGCTCCGCAAAGGAAGCAGCTCTTACTACAGCCTGCAAGGCCACGTGACACAACCAAGCAAAGAAATCAAAGAAAGGACAGCTGGTCACAAGCCACTGCGAGAGTCCTCCCACTCCAGGCTGTGTGGGAGGCTGGAATTCTGCACGCTCAAGCAAGGAAGCACAGAATCCTTACAGGCCGCAGGGAATGGGCCACAGACGAGGCAGAGCAGTGGCAGAAACAGCGTTGCAGGGTCTGTAGCACAAGCTGTCCTCAGGCAAACAGGCACTGTCTTTCCTTAGACACAGTACATAAGAGAAAGCCACTTCTAGCCTGGCAATGTGGAACATGCACGTAATCCCAGCACTCTCAAGGCTGAGGCAGGACAAGTTGCAGCCAGCATGGGTATACAGAGTTGAGTCTTGTCTAAAGGGTGTTAAGTCAAGCCCATCTTGAAAAACCACCACCGACAGGGAGGCATCTACTGGTTCCTGTATTAGAAAGTGAATCTGTGGCTGCAGCTGGGCTCTGGGTTTCTTTCATAGAGATATACAAATGCAGATGAAAGAGACAGGAAAGGTAGTGAGGACAGGGAAAGGGAAGAAGAGAAGGGAAGGGAAGAAGGGGACAGAGTAAGAAAAAGACTACAGACTCCAAAATCCTGAAAGAATATGTACTTTCTAGAAAGCTATAAGTTAACTGTCACCCTCAAAACTGGCACGCTATAATAGTTTAACATGCTGTTTTGTTTTCTGAGACAGGGTCTTGCTGTGTAGTTCAGGCTAGCCTTAAACTCACTAGGTAGCCCTGGTTGGCCTCAAACTCGGGGCAATTCTGCTTTAGCCTCCTGCTGGGATGACAGGTGTGTGCCACCACAAGATACTTTACAGCTGGAGAAACAGCTCAGCAGCATAAGCACCTGCCTGGCAAGCTCAAGGTCCCAAGTTTGATCCCCGGTACTGCATACTGTGTCAGCCTTGGAACCCCAGGTGCACCGTGCCATCCCTAGAACCAGGCTTGGTGGCGCATGCCTATCATCCCAGTAATCAGGAGATTGAGGCAGGAGGAGGATCACTGCAAGTTCAATGGTTCAGTAGAATAAGCGCTTGTCTGGAAAACACAAGGGTGTGAGTCCAATCCCTGGTTCCACCGAAAAAAAAAAAAAAAAAAAAAAAAAAGACTAGTCTGAGCTACAAAGTGAGCTCCAGGCCAGTCTGAACTGCATAGTGAGAAACGTTTCTCAAAGAGATAAAAAGAAAAAGAAAAAATAATAACAAGTGGCTTAGGCTAGTGATGAACACTTGCCTAGCTCAAAAGAAGGCCTCGCTCTGATCCTTAGCACAAAGGTCTGAGTGCTGTCTGCATTCCAGAAAACTAGATGTGGGTACAGGTCCACACATCCCTAATCTCAGTACCTGAAAACCTGAGGTAGGCGGACTGCAGGTTTACGGCCAGCCGGGAAAATCTAGTGAGACCCTGTCTCAAGACAAAATAAGTACAAGGAAGGTCCTGTGCTCAATCTTTAGCACCTAAAAAAAATTTAAAAAGTAGCTATGGGATGTAAAGCCCTAACACACCCAACTGTATGTACTTCAGGAGAGTTAGTCACCTTGGCATACAGGGAGGAGCAAGCTAGTTACAGAGAAAGGAAGTATAGGGAAAAGAAGTATTAGGAGGGAAGATGTGGGACTGCAGGAGTAAGGTCTGGAAAATCACCACAGCAACAGAGTCTGCCTCCAGTACCAGGCACACAAAGAAGACACACCGGTGACGCAGGCACTCAGGCAGCTGGGCTCCTGCAGTACCACTGGGCCACCACACTGTGAGTGCGTGTGCCTGGCTCGAGGCAGCCAGGGTCACGGGCAGGCAATACCCTGACTCATCGTGCCACGCTTACCTGAACATAGTGATCCGTGGATGGCGACGACCTGGACCGTTCATGAACGTACTTCGGCTTCTGGTGTTGGTCCAGCCCTGCATCAAGGATGTCATCCGCCGAGTGACACCGTCCTGAGCTCCTGGCTTCCAAAGGTTGCCTCTGCTCCTTCCATGAGGCTTGGTACTCTGCAAAGGTTCCAAGTCTCTGGGGTGGGTCCAACTTCCCCGGGTTTTTTGCTTTCCTGTTCCCACTGAGGATCTCTCCTAAGAAGGTGGCACACGACCTCTTCTCCATGCAAGGCTCTGTGCCCTCACCTCCACTGGCCACTGTCCGCAGCCTCTCCACCTTCTCCCCTGGGGGTCCACAGACAGCCTGTCTTTGGCCTGGCCCTCGGAGAACAGGTTTGCTAGTTTCTTCAAAAAACTTCCACCTGTCAGCAAACGTGCCCACAGAGTCCTCGGGGGTCCTGGGGTGCTGGGGTGAACCACAGCCCACTGAGAGCCCCACCTCATGCATTTTCTCCGGTTCAGAGTATGACTTCAGTTTTTGCTCTGCCGTGAACCTTTTCCGGCCTCCGACGCGGGGCACATGGGGTGGCCCACCTGCAGATGAGGCCGGCTTAGCCGGGCCTGACTCCCAGAAGCGAGATGCGGAGTCAGGCTCCCCAGGCATTGATGGGGCGATACTGTGCTCCCCAGTCCTGTGTTCCAGGGGCCCAGGATACTGGTCCACTGGGTTGGGGTCCAAGTCCCGCCGCTTGAAGGAGGTGGCCCTCAGGACCCGCGCCTGCGCCTCCTTCAAATGGTCTTTGTAGGTGCTGCAGAAGGAGCCTTCTGAGGTGGCTCCAGGCGGGGCCTGCCAGCTGCTGGACTCTGTGTCTGCCTCACTGCCTGTGGCCAGGGCCACTGTGCTCTTGCTTTTCTGCAGCCTGGCCCTGCGCATCAGGATCTCGTTCCTCAGTGTGGTAGCGAATCGGTCACTCCTACGTGTGGGTCGCCCCACCTGTGAGTCAAAGGGTGGTGGTGGCTTCTCTGCAGCACCCATTTGGCCCTCCTGGGTCAGGGAGTGCAACATGGGGGTCCGCTGGCGAGAGATCCTGCTGCCCTCCCCATCCATCCCCTTGAAGCCAGCAGCCAGTGGCCCCTGTGTGGTGTGGCTGGCCTTGGGCAGCTCGTGGAAACCTGAGAAGCCACCCTTGGTGGCGGCTGCCTCTGGCAGGGGACCTGGCCCCTCTTGGCAGGTCAGGGGGCACCATGGGTTCGTGCCCATTGCCAGGAGCGAGGAAGGGCACTCAGGGGCCCCAGAAGCTGCATCCCAGTGCCAACACTCCCCACGCAGTGGGGGCTGCCTGGTGGCCATGCAGGAATAATAGCTCTGGTCAGCAGCCTTGGGCCACCGGGCCCGTGGGGGCCCCATATGTGGCACAGGCAGTCCCTGCCAGCCTCCAGAGGGTGCCCCATGTGGCCACTCCCTCAGGGACATGGGCTTTCCTGGAGAGCCCTCTTCGCTGCCCTGGCGGGGGTGCTGGCCACTGTGGAGAGGCTGCACAAGGGGTCCCTCAGTACCAGACAGGGAGGGCTGGGGCCTGCCCAGAGGACCAACCACCCTGTCCCCGCAGCCCAGCCAGCCACCATCAGGGTGGCCTCCTGGTTCCTTCCCACTGCTTGGGTGCCTGGGCCTCTGCTGCCGATCAGCGGGGTCCGCCCTCCAATCACCACGAGGTTGTACCCGGGTTGGGGCTGCCAAGAGCTGTGGTGTGGCCATCTCTGAGAACAGAGGGCCTTGTGTCTTCTCCTGGCTCTTGGTGGCGGCAAAACTGTCACTGCGCAGTGGAGGTGCCGGAGGAGGAGGTGATGGAGGGGCTTTCTTCTTGTCGGGAACATGCCAAATGGGCCCAAAACTGGACCTGCCCAAAGGGGTCAGCCTGGGTTCAGCGCTGTCCTCTGGCCTGGGGCTTTTATTGCTGTTCCTGGGGGCCCTAGGTTGGATGGCTGCAGGCCTCTCATCCAAAGCCTGCGGGGTCGCCTCCCAGAGTCCAACCTTGTAGAGGATGTTCTCTGCTGAGGAGGCCTCGGTCCTGGGCAGAGTGTGGTCCGGGGTGCCTGAGCTGGTGGAAAATGAGCCATAGGCTGAGTCACGCTGGTGGGGGCCACCGAGGCGGTCGATGCTGCTGTTGGATTTGGCTTCCGAGAGGGGTCCAGAGGGGTAGGGTTGCGAGGGATGGTCCAGGCTGTCCACACTGCCCAGGGAGCTGAAATGCTCCGAGGTGCGCTGCAGGTTCGTCTGCTCCCACACACTGGACAGATCTTGGGAGGAGGAGCTACACAAGAGAAGAACGAGAACGGTTGGCAAATGCAAGGGCAGTGGATGCCAGCTGTGTGGACACAGTGGTCCTTCACACAGGGTCAGGGTGCCTAACAGCAGCAACCTCCCAGGACAAGACAGCAGGGCCTGAGGCTAGCTCGGTCATCTGAATTATGAAGAAAGAGGGGAGAAAGGCACGGGGTGGGGGGGAGGGGACAGACACCACAGAGGTGATGGAAAGAGAAGGGGAGAGAGAGGGAAGGAGGGAGTGACTGAGAAGGGGAAGGTGGCTGAAGAGAGAGGGGGAGGAGAGGGAGGGAAAGGAGACAGGAGGGGAGGGGAAAGGCAGAAAGGAGGGGAAAGGAAAGAAACGGGAGGGGGAAGGGAGGACAAGGCACTTCCTGAAGACAGGCTAGAAAGAGTATTGCTCTACTTTTTTTTTTTTTTTGGTACTGAGGATCAAACTCAGGACCTTGTGCTTGCCAGGCAGGCACTTACTTATGTTGCTGAGCTATCTCCCCAGCTCTGAATGCCTGTTCAATAGATTCCTTTTACTATTAGGGATTTTTTTTTGCCCTAATGCCTATAGTACTGGCAGGCAATGCCTGAACTAACTTTTCTGTGGACCATGAGTCATTCAGAGCACAGACTGTTGAGAAACAATTCATGAGCTGAAGATTTTTTTTGTTCTGTTTTATTAAACGGTCAGGGGAAAAGAAACCAAAGGAAAACTTCTATTCTACCTGTGCAAATGGTATGAATCACAAATCTCAACTCGCATATGAAGGTTTAGGAACACAACCGTGCCTATTTGTGCACGCACTGTCTACAGCTGTTTCTGTTCAACAACCATCTGAATGACCGAGACACAGCCCGCTGGGCCTGCAAAGCTGACCATACTTGCCCTCTAGCCCTTACAGAGCCAGCTGCAGATCCCTGCTTTGCATATGTTGCAGGCAGCAATCAAATGGGAACAATTTTAATACTGCAGGCTGGGGACTAACACAGTGAGTGGCACAGCGCATGCCTAGCACATACAGGGCTCTGTGTCTGCTCTCCACAACTGTCAAGAAAACAAGAATAATTTAAAACTGTAAGGAAAAAAACCCTGAAGGGTAACTTTGTTTTTGGCTTTTTGTGAATTGAGTTCCACTACGCAGTTCAAGCTGACCTTGAACTCACTTTGTAGCCCAAGTTGGCCCCAACTCATAGGAGGCCCACAGCCTCCCAGAGAGCTGTGATTACAGGCTTGAGCCAGCAAGGGCAACGTTTCTTTTCCAAAACCCAAATCCTAGAGAGTGGCTGGCTCTACCCTAAAGGCTCAGCTGCTTGAGTATCTGACTGAGAAATGGGCTTTTTCGGCAAAACAACATGCAGCAGTGTTCGGGGTCACTGGGGTGAGACACAGACAGGGAAACCACACGGAGGCAACCTGGATGGGCCTGAGATGCAGAATAAACTGTAATTCCTTCACACTGCATACGTACCTTAGTTTACAGTTTTGCAGCAGACCAGTGTTTAATAAGAGATAGAAATGGATTTTTGAGATGAATACACTAGCTTCAAACATATACATACACGTGCATGTACACATTTATGAACAGATTTCCACTTATATATACACATAGGTATACATTATAAACACACCCATATGGATACATACATATCCATACACATTTATAGTCACAACACATATGCATGCACACAAATGCACACTTACACATATGTGCACAGAACACACACGCACACACACACACACACATCCTAAAACCACACTACCTACAATTGCTGTGATCCTAAGAAGAGACACATGGGGATGTTTGTCACTAATACCAAGACAGGGTTGGGGAGAAGACAGAGGCACAATAGGATTGCCCAGGCACTCTCACAAAATACACCTGCCACCCCATAAGTATCTCTTGCCTTCCAATCCTCTGTAAAACCTTTGAAAGAAGGGTGGTAGCTGGGCACATGTGGGTGCCACAGAAAGCCACCAACCCAGCTCAGAACTCCCAACTGCCTGGCACCTCACACCACAGTCCCAAAGGGAAGCCATCTAAGCGATTCGTCCTGAACCTCTCCTCCAAAAGCACACAGAGAACGCCGGCCTGCTCGTCCTTTGTCTTGTCATGCTATTTCTTTGTTTCTCACTGTCCACACTTTCCTGGCCAGTGAAAAAATTCAGCCTTCCAGCCCGAAACAAGTCTCAACGGCCTGGTCTCATCAGAAACATCAAAATCTCCCCCAAGTCAGGTGGGAGGAGAGCGAGCACCTACCTAGCATGGTGTCGGCTGTGCCAGGAAGAAGAGCCGCTGGCGGCAGGGAACTGAGAGGCCACGGGCTCGGGGTGGCCATCGGAGAACTTGGTGGCGTGCCACGAGTGAGGTCTCCAGCTCACATCGCTCCTCCTGTAAAAGAATAAGGACTGCTGAGACAGGGGCTTCACACACTGTGCATCTGTGTGACCAGACCGGAAGTCCATCCTGGCTGCCCAAGAGGAGCCCACAGCATGGCATTCGGGCACTGGCCACTGTCTCTGTGGACATGCATTCTCTTTAGGATCTTGATAGGGCCGGCCATATAGCTCAATGGACTAAAGTGCATGCTCAGGCAGAGAGCAGTGGCTAGGGTTCGGTCCCTGGTGTGCTGTGCTGGCTCTGCTCCCAGGGCACATTGAGTGGGCAATTGAGACTGGGCTTGGTGGTGTGGGCCTATAATCCCAGCACTTGGGAGGCTAAAAACAGGAGGACTGCTATGAGTCCGACCTGTGTAGTGAGACCCTGTACTACATACATTAAACAACAACAAAAAAGAACTTGTCTGCTCTTGTGGTAGGTGGGAGTCACAGGCTGCAAAATGTACGGCAGCACTTATTCCTTAGAATTTATTTTTCTGTTAATATATACAGTTATTATCAAATGTTAAGATAGATTTGTTTTAGATAAATAATCTTGGGTTCCCCACCTCCATAGTAGTCTGTTGAGAGTTCTGAAGGTGGAAAGTGATCAAATGTGGGAGGGCAGGACAAGGTCAGAGAGCCTAAAGCACCCAAGCTACCTCAGTGGGAGGACAACACCTTGCCTGGTCAATTTCTGCCAGTAGTCCCTAAGCAACTTTGTGTCTCCTGATACTAAAGTTGCAAAGGTGTAAGTAAACACCCCTAATGTTGTTCTGGAATCCTTTGCCAATCAAGCATGAGGCACCACTTGACCCAACTTTTGTGTTGTCTGTTTTTTTCTCATTCTTGCTGCCACACCGAGTCCCCAGAGTGCATCTTTTGAGTTTTAGCACAACTGTACAGGACCCTGAGCCTCCTGGGAAGACAGGCTCCAACCAGAGAAAAGGTCACTGACTCCCCTATTGGCTGAGACACACAGAGCTCAGCTGTACCACTCCCCTGATTTATTTTTTCTTTATTTTTATTTTAGAAAATAAAAAGATGAGAATTTTGTTTATATGAATATACCAATTACATTACATTGAGACCCCCCCCCCAAAAAAAAGGGCAAATGAATTAATACTTTAGGATTACATCATTTTTGAAGAACATTTCCTAAACAATAAAATCTTGTGGGATAGCTTTGTTCTCCTTCCACATCTTGAATACCATTCTAGTGCCTTATACAGTCCATTGCTTTAGGGCTTATTATCTCTGTACTTTATGATTATTTTTTCTCTTGCCACTTTCAAGATTTTCTGTCTTTTGCTTTCAGAAACTTGATGGTAATTCTTGGTTGTTTCTTAATTCTTATTTTATTATTTATCTCAGCTTCCCAGGGGCCATCTTTGTGTTTAAATGTGTATTTTCTTTACATATACCATCCTCTTTGGACTTCCTTCAGTTGCTTGGATCTGAAGATAAAAGTCTCTTTTACAAATTTGGGAAGTTGTGGGCCTTTTTTACTTTGAATATTTCTCCTTTTCCTTTCATTTTTATCTTTCTAGGGCTCCTGTCACACATATGTTGGTATGCTCGATACTGTACCACAGACCTGTGAGGATCTGTTCCAAGTTAAATTCTTCAAATTAAATTATTTCTGTTCTACTATCCTTAAGGTCACAGACTGATTTTTCTTCTGCCATCTCAGATCTGCTGTTGAGCCCATCTAGTGAATTCTTCCTTTGTTTACTTT